AAAAGGACGGATGACCGTGAGAGAAACATAATTCATCAACACCGGATATTTTATGTTTATAAAAACATATAGACGGGAAAAATAGCAAAACCTGAACAAATGTGATGGTTGTTTGATAGTGTACCACCATTATTTAGTTATCATGTAATATTATCATTGCTTTTCAGTGAAGTTGCCTTCAAGTGCTACTAGTAAAGTAAATTATCCATTTATGTCACATCATAGTGATTTAAATTCTCCAAATTCAGATATTAGATAATATTTTAAAAATCTCCAATCCAGTTTCTTTATAACTTTTATAGGAATGCATATATCTTTTGCTCTATGACTTTTATAAGAATGCATTGTGAAGGAATATTTGCGATATTAACAATATTTTACGAATATATAATAGAGGAAAAAAATTTATATAAGTAAAAGTTTGCGAAATATAGATACGCATAAAATATTTCAAAAGTCGGATATTCATAAAAGAAGTTCATAAAAGAGTTCATAAAAGAAATACACGACAAAGCAAAGTTTTTTTTTTTTCATTTTTTAGAAAGTATTTGTAAAAATAAATAAAAAAAATTTTAAACTGAAACTAAAGTGTTTTGAGCGATTCTATTATTCGAATTAATGAAATGTATATTATTTAAGAAAATCTGGAGTCTGAGCATTTTTTTAAATAACATTTTTTATCAAAGATGAAGCGATAAAAAAACTGTTTCGCAGCGAAACAGTATGTTTTAAAGTCTTCGAAGACACACAGATTTGTATCCACATAAAAATATGTACCCATGTGTAAAATAAATGATTATACCTTTTAATTAGATCATACACAAGTAAAAATATTTCGTATTAAATTTTGCTTCAACTCTAAAAATTATATTCGCTTTAAAGATGCTATTATTTTAATAAGTTTTACTTTTTTAATGCTCATGGCTCGCAACGAATTTATGCATATTGAAAAAGATTTACATTAAATTAAAATTATTAATGCATTTTTTTAGTTAACTTTAATTTTTATTTTTTTCTAAATATTTTGAAAACTGGTAGAATGTATCAAAATGAAATTCGATAGCAAGACCTAATAAGACTTAAATCACGCTGCCTGTTTCGTCGTTTTAATGAATAAATACTGAAGCACAACTGAGTGTAAAAAGGAGAATAATTTATAACCAAAGTATAAAGTTTTCAGAAATGTAGTTTTAGAATACTTTATACACATTTTATATTGAATATGTGAGTACATTGCCAAGCATTTTATGACATAAAAAAATTCAAGCAATGTGTAAAATTATATTATGCAACTTTTATTTCTAAATAGTAATGTTTAGTTATCTATTTAGTTCTAACATTTATAAATTTTCCTGATTTGAACAATTTTTGCTAACATAGATTTGTATCAAATAATGACATTTTATTTGTATATCTATTTATTCTCAGAGTAATTCAGTTGCAATAAAAAGCGTGGGAGAACAGAGAGGTTGAACTATGTAAAAATTGAATATTTGAAAACGTGGGCAGCGAAAATATGGAACTACGTAAAATCAAATATATAACAATCTGATACAAGTGTTAAATAATTGGTTTAGTTTATGCTACTTCTCTGTGCATTGAAATAAGAAAAGTTTATAACATGGATTTAATGCTTTAGAAGGAAATTTAATTCTTCTTTAGATTTAAGAAAACTGACAAACGATAAAGTTAAAATCTGAGTATTCAACTTATTTGAATGGTTTCATGTTTACTAATCTACTACACTGTAAAATAAATAATATATAGAAGCATATAATGAATAATAGCATTTATGCAATATTAAGTACTACAATAAAATTTAATTGGTTGCTATATTTTTCCAGAATATGTATGAAAGGGGCAAGAAGACTAATTATGCGTTGTAAAAATTAAATTCAACGTATAACAATACAAAATATGAAATGTACCAACGTAAAAAAAAATCTTATATAAATAAAATTGCTTACTGGCTAAAAATCTTTTTCTTTTCCTTCATCAAAAAAGTGCATTTTCAAATTTACATAATTACTGAAATATTACACAGCTAAATTATAACTTAGTTACATTATAACTTAATTATTTAAGCTTCTCTTATATTAAGATAGATAAATATAACTTTTTAATACATTCCTGAAGATAATTATATAGTAGGTATAGATAGAAAAACTTTGCAGAATAAAATGTTTTGAAAGTCGTATAAAAACCATAGTAGTCAAGAAATGCAAAAGCTCCTTCGAGTTATTGTGTTTTTAAAGCTCAAATTTGAAAGTAAAAAAATAAAAAAGCTATGGAATAGCAAAATAAAAATATTGACACCTAAACTCATAGCTCAATAAAGCAAAAATATAAACCCATTAAAAGTTGAAAATGGATGTTAGCTTAGTAAGTATGAATTTTGCATATATTTATTTAAATGTTTTGGCAGATGTTGAAATTCTACTACAATATATCAAAATATCCGAGCATTCTCCATTGATCCATTTAAGTTGCTGCAAAATACAAATGAATAAGCAATAATGAATTTTATAAAAAATGTGGAATCAAGTTTAGCACAAAAGATTAATATAGAAACAAAATTTGAATTATGCCTCCGAAATTTAACAAATAAGAATATCATTTTACATTCTGGTTTATGCAGTTTTAATACTGCTTGTTATCAAAGTAGCATCATTTATATTTTTTTAAGACAGTAAAACAGCAAACTAGTGATATATTTATGCTTGATGCGGTATTTCAGCATAGTGTTTAATTATTCGATTCAATAGCCATTTAGAATTAATTCCAATAGTATTAATATTTCAATAATAGAAGTAATTTTAATATCATTAATTATTCAATGATATTGGCAATAATTCCAAAAATAATAACAATAGAATAATATTAATGCACTCGTTTTATAGAGATATTGAAAATGATTACATCAACAATAATATTCTAAACAACAATAATAATAATATACAGAATTGTAACAATTACACGGAAATAATTCACAAATATCGGAAATAAGTACAACAATAGTTATCTAATAATGTTAATAGGTCCAACAATATAAAACTAAAAATCCAGTGATATTGTTAGTAATTTACTGCAATTAAAAATCCAAGATCTTAAAAGTAATTCAGTGTACTTTAACCTTCAAATTTTTATATCTCATCAATTATTGTACTGTCCATATTTTGCACAAAATGACTTTTTTCCTGAATGCTAAAACTTTATTATTATTATTTGCAAATGCTAATGACCTCCCAATGGCAATGCAAATAACCTTCCAATTATATACCATTAGTACCTAATGTTTTTCATATTTTTCTTAGATCAGTATAGGGATGCAAATGTGCTGCGTCATTTTATTTATTTATTTTTCTAAAACAGTCATGCATTTCTCTCTCAAGAACAGGGTAAAAAATGTACACATAATATTGTTCAATTTTTAATATGGTGCAAAGTTGAATCAAATTATTGTATTTCTTCTCATTGAATTATCTCGATACCTAAGTTCAACATCATTACTCATAGTTCTTGGAATATTTACTAATGTAATTTCAGAACTTGTTCTCTCAGTCAACTTCAAAAGAAAATTTGCATTTCAACTGATTTTATTTAAAAATATGCAAATATGTTCGAGTATTATTTAATTACGTTAAATTCCGGTAAACCGGTCTAAATCGAATCAGACGTTAAATTTTATTTCATAGTTAATGAGTACTGTTTTACAGTATATTTTTCTGATGTGTTTTTCTATGATTCCTAATCCTCAGAGACATTTTCTTATATGTATGTACCTATCCATAATAATTTTTATAAAAGCAATGAAAATAGTTAAAAAAAATTCTTTTTAAATACTGAATTCTAAAGGAATAGTAAAACATTTGCATCAAACCCAGACGCAATTAAATTAATTTTAAATTATATATTTATTTACAAACATATTTGTTTGAAATTATATATCTGTACATACATTTGTTTGAAAAGTCTTTTTTTTTTGACAAAAATATTTTTATAAATAAAATAAATGGAATTATTTAATTATTCTAAAATATATTAAGCATTAATCAAGACATGAATAATTAATAATTTTTAATGTTGTATTAATACAGCATGCTTACGTAAATATCATAACAATTAACTGGTTCCTAGTATTGGTCAACAAAAATTAAGTTAAAAATTATTTGTGTATGTTGGGTATGTATGGTATCCAGCACTATATAGAATGATCAGAAAAAGTATAAAATGATTACTATTTCACACCTGAGCATTTTATAAGATGAGTAGAAAAAATCTTAAGATATTCTATACAACGACTATGCAAAGTATTCAATTCTGCAGAATAATAAACATTCTATAGAATTACCACTTAAAATATATAATTATGCTCAAATTTCCTATTTAAAATATTTAAAAAAAGGCAAGCATTCAATACAATTATTGGGTATTATATAGAACGGCGGAATTCAGCTCATTGACAGTAATGTATTTAATAAGAAAATAGCTCAAATTTTTAATCCTATATTTTTAACATGAGAGTAATAAATTAAACCAAGAAAATTTTAATTAAAAAATATAGTACTATAAAAATTTAGAGAATAAAAGCTTAATCTTTTAACGAAAAAATGCAGATTAAGTCACTAAATCAATCAATTTAAATTTAAATTAATCAACACAGATAAGACATTTAAGATTATTGCTTTTGTGCAAATTTAAAAATAAAAAATTTAACCGATGTTTAAATACTAATAAAGAAAATCGTGAATTGATAGAGACATCACCATTTGGAAACTTCTTTTCACTGAGTGCTATGTCATTTATTTCAATGTTAAAAAGATTTAAACAGTGCTACAGCACTTAGTACCCATTAAAACATATTATCAGAGTTAAGGAACACGAATCTACAATTCTTGAGGGAAGAAATAAATATTAAATCAATCATAAAAATACAATTTGATAGAACATACATTTATTTAATAGAAGCTAAATAAATAAGAGAATTGAAAAAATTTTACTTTTTTTGTAATAGGCCACCCACAAAATCTTGGCAAGTTACTTTGTTTAACTGCTGGCACCTATAAACAGAACAAATAAAATTATCATACAAGCATTTGTCTTGTAATAATTTAAACACAGAAATCCCAGATTTTGACAAATATTTTATAACAGGAGAATATTATTTTCTGGCTCAGCTTGTTGCAAAGAAACTGGAAAGTGATGCTTGCTAAATATGTATAAATACCAAAATAAGAAGAAAAAAGGAGTTCAGAAAAAATATGTAAATAATGGCACCTGTAAAACGATTAAAATTATTATAAATTTTTATGAATTTTTAAGTGTAGCAAAAGCATTGAAGTCAAGTTTTACTACTCAAGTATTATAACTTTTTTGTAAGTGACATTTAGTGGAATTTTTTTTAATCAAAATATAAGAAAATAAATATTTCCCTAATTGTTATAAATTCTGAACTGTTATGAACTGTAATATTGTTCAAATTTGCTATAAAGTTTATATGGTGCTAAGATGAACCATACTATTGTTTTCAAGCGATACGATACTATGTTCTACATTGAACGAAAATGAGGTTCACTTTAAAATTTTGAGAGGTTGCGGAACATTTGTACTGCATTATAATTCAATGTTGATGTATAGGTTTTTTAAAATTGTAACTGTAATTAAATGAGAAAACTTGGTGACAAAACTTGGTAACTTAAAAAAAATTGAAACAGAGTTATGCCTTATTATTTTTTTTAACTAAAGCCTTATCAAAAATATTTAAAAACAAATGTTTTAAAGTATTAAAATGCATAATTTTTGAAAATTATTGATCGTTTAATCAAACTTGTAAAGTAAATGATAAACCTGTTAATTAAATACTGAAATTAATGAATGAGTTATCTTTACTTCATTTTTTAAGTTCTATTTTTTACTCCATGTTTTAATTTTAACTGTATTGATTTCTCAGAAAACAGTTTTTTTTTTAAACTTTCTGCAAAATTTTAATGATGCCAGACTCATTTATCGAGTAACTCATGCTTATCAGCAGATTTTGATTCATCAGTCTGTTATGCTGTTAACCAACTATAAATTCTAAAAAGAATATATTTTAGGACAAAATATTTTTATGCGGAGAAAATATTCTGAGTGCTTTTAGAAGAGTACCATTGCTAATGAAAGTAGTGCATTGCGAAACATTTACATAGCCGATCATAGTTTAGAATAACAACAATCAAAAGGCGTAGCAGAACAATGTAGTCACGTAGATAAATATTCGTTTAAACACATTGATTTCTACCACTCTCTCATACAATCAGTAGAAGAAATTATTCACCCTTATGAGAAAAGAAACAATAATAATATATGAGTCAATAATTTTTCCTATTTTCTTTAACTTTTCCACAATCCCATTCTATAGACATTCCTTAAAATTATTGAAAATATCCTAATAACTAATATATTTATATTGGAAAGCTTTTTTTAACACTAACTGTGATCAGATAAACTTATGTGAAGCTTTTAAATACTTATACAAATGATTATAATTTTTCCTATATATTACAAAAAATGTGAAATAAATGAATGTAATCAGGTTGATAAATCTATCACCTGTGTTCTTTAATACAGATAATACTGAGGGAAACATATTACACCAGTTAAAGACCAAAAATATGCATTTAAAAATTTCAGTCAACTACTGAGTGCTTATAGCGCTGCAAACCTTTGATTTAGCTTTAAAACTTGTTTAGATAAACAGTTTCAAATAGATTTGGTGAAAATAACGAGTATAATTGAGATCGTTCAATGTCTCCTTTCCGGTATATATATAGTACTTGGTCAAACATTTTTAACAATCAATTCAGACAGTTATAATTTATAAGTTAACTGTAAGATGTTCGAAGGATTTAGAAAAAAAGGGGAGAGAAGAAGCAGGGACCGATCAAGACAAATTCTGGCCCCAGGCCCACAGAATTTTCAGGGCCCCTAACAAAATATTTTGAAATTAAAATTTCTGGAGAGCAGTTCTAACTATAAAAAAAAATCTATTGAACTGCATGATTCAAGAGAAACATTCTAAAAAATTTTGAAAGTAGACAATTAAAGATTATTTTTCCAAGATAAAGTTTAAACATGTAATTATTAAAGCAAAATATAAAGCAACAAAACAATGTTGTATGAAAATAAAAATAGTTTGGTGACCACCAGCAATTGAAATCAGTGATTTTCATAGCTTAAGTCACTGATTAGCTGAATTATTTTAAAGATTGCAGTCTTCCATCTACAGCTTTACACATTTGTTAAGAATAAGCTTTTAGTTCTTGTTGACATTAATCATTTATAAATGACTTTGCGAATATGCATTCCAGTTGCATATGCTTAAGCCATTGGAGTAAAGATTGCACCAATTAAAATTCAGATGTACTTTTGAAATTGATTAGTGCAATGTTTACACGAGTTTGGTTTATCACAATATAAAGAAAATTTGAAATAAAAAATACCTTTTTTGAGATAAACTGTTTCGTTCAGTATTTTTTTTAATGAAATATTGTGGATTTGTTACTAATTTTTGAGGACCCCAGAAAGTGTGGGCCCTAGGCCCGTGCCTATTGGGCCTAGACGATAATCAGGCCCTGTATATGGCTCTTGACCAAACATAAGCAGATGCAGAATCTAATGAATAGTTTGCTAAGCAACATCTTATTTTAGTCACAACCATGACCATCAAGGATTCTTTATTCATCTGTTGTTGCACTTTAATAGCCATATGATTGTGTAATTGATAATTGTTCAAATGTGAAACAGTTTTGTTACACTTCATTCCTTGTTAACAGGAAAAGCAATTATTACAAACCTTCTTAGGTCCTTAGTCATATGATTAACCCTAATGAGAGGAGAAAAAACAGATTTTGATTAACATAATTTCATACTTATAATTTCAGTCTCTCTTTCATTGGTTTCACAATGAAAAAAACCCCATCAAATAGGGATGTAACGACACCAAATATTCGGCCAAATCATANAATGAATGTAATCAGGTTGATAAATCTATCACCTGTGTTATTTAATACAGATAATACTGAGGGAAACACATTACACCAGTTAAAGACCAAAAATATTTATTTAAAAATTTCAGTCACCTACTGAGGGCTTATAGCGTTGCAAACCTTTGATTTAGCTTTAAAACTTAGTTTAGACAAACAGTCTCAAATATATTTGGTGAAAATAAAGGATATAATTGAGTAAAACTGAGATCGTTCAATGTCTGCTTTCCGGTATATATATAGTACTTGGTCAAACATTTTTAATAATCAATTCAGACAGTTATAATTTTATAAGCTAACTGTAAGAAGTTCGAAGGATTTAGAAAAAAAGGGGGGAGAAGAAGATTTAAGAAACTTAAATTTCTTTAAACAATAAAACTAGAAATTTTTCTTTTTTTGGGGGGGGGGAATAAAATGGGATTAAATCAAAGAGTATAACAGCTGTTTAGGTGAAATTGTACCCCGTGTTCATAAAGAAGTCGAATAAAAATAATTTTAATTTCATGAAAGTATCACTGCCCCGTTCAACATTAAACTAATACTACAGAATTCTCTTAACTGGTAATCGCAAAATATAAAGTTATGAATAATCAAACTTGAAATCTAATTGATTCTTCAATATTTTACATAGAAATTATTCTTAATTGCTACGTCGTTAAAAAACATCGTGCAATTTAAATTAAGGACAGAATCACATGGAAGTTAGAAAAAAAAATGTTTAGAGACTAAAACTTTTTTTGATCACATTGTTTCAAATCGACATTGAATTTTCAATGTCAAAATTGCACGAATTATAAAAACTACACAAATATCTATATGATTAAGGTTATATTGAAAATTACTTAGTTGTGGACAGTTTTGCCAATTAATAAATTTGATCATGATGACACATCTACGAACAGCCTTTTCAGTGAAATACAGTGAAATCTGACGTCTATAAAATAGGCAGATATAGGCTGTAGGCTTTAGCATTTTAAATTTTTAATCACTCATAATTTCTTTACTCATAAAACTTCTAAAAAGAAAAAAAAGCCATATAGCTCTTGTCTCAAGCACTTTTCTAATGATATGTTTAACGATGTAAGGATAAGCAACGCTGATTATGTAATAATTAGTTAAAGATACTATACTTAATGAAGGGAAATAATCATATACTTCTAAATAGAGTATAAAATAAATTTTGAACAGGTTATTACATTATGTTCAGGTTAAATGAAAACTTATCAGAAGGATTTGTTAAAAATTCGTAAAAGAAAAACAGTTGGAATTTCAAAAAGAAGAAACATCGAGTTTCGTAGTATATTAAAAAATTTCTGCGTGGAACAGCAAGCAACGTGCTATCTATATTTAAAAAGTCAAGTTTAAACCGCATTCGATATTAAAAATATTTTTCTTTTGAAAATTGTACAAATTCTCCAGAAATGTCTAACGCCCCTCTATGAGTTCTCAGCACTTACTGCGGATGGTAGTACTCACGTTGGGAACATAGGAAATTGATGATAAAAACACTTTTTCGTAAAGTTATAGACAAGACAGAAGTATCAAAATAGGTATAAAACTAAAGAAAAAGCATTACTTCATTTTTACTTCGTAAGGCTTTAAATAAACTCTTAGCAAACAGTGTGCTGATTCTTTAGTTAAGTCACAATACCATTTCCATAAATTATAGGCACTGAAACTAGAAAAAAGAAACATGTATAAATTATCACTGAAATACATCATTTTTATAACTACTGAAACTCATTTCCAATTACTGCAAAACTAGCGGAAAAACCGTTCTTCATGTTGGGTAAAAAATAGGTAAATATTCTATAAATCGGTATTAATTTTCACTGCAAAATCATTAACAAAGCTGAAAGCCCACTCAAATAATTCCGTCTAGTTATAAGATTAAGAAACATGAACTTTTGGAAGTATTCAGTATCATTTGGCATTATGCTGTAACTCATGATAATCGAAATTTACCTCAATCATATAATTTTCTCCGGTACTTATCTTTTTCAGGGAACTATGAAAAATCTGTTACCACAATAAATTTAGTAAGCGCATGGTATCTGTATTAGTATATTAGATACATATCAAAACAGCACCATTGACCATAATAGTAGTAACAATTATCAAAATTAATTATGAATAATTGGCATCAGCAATATTAGGGCTTCTTTTTACAGTTCCTCTATGCGAACAATTATCTTTTCTCCGCTAATTTTTGTTTTTTTATTTTAATTACCGTTAATCTTAAATTCTTTAGCGTTATAGAAACACGTTTTTCAAGCGTAATTTAAAAAAAATTTTTATTAACACGTGATTTTAGATAAATTTTTCGGTGGAAGCGGACCTCACATGCTACTAATGTTTAAAATGTAGAATCAGGTGGAAAAACGCCCGATAAACAATAATTTCTCAGGGTCTTAATCTTTTGATAAGTTAAAAATATCAAGAAAAATCATTTTAAAAAATTTCAATTTAATACATTTTTAAAAAAAAAAATGATTGTTTAAAAAAGCAATATTTGTATATTAAATCACAATACAGCAAGTGAAAATTATTGAAATGAATAACAGTTTTAGAAATGCTTATTCATTTTGTTAAATAATATGTAGTGAAGAGAAAATCATTTCCGTAAACATTAAATTAGTATTATTTTTTAAAAAAATATCTAACTTATTCAAATAAATAACTATTTAACATTATATAAATTTTGCTATGCAGCCCGAATTGAATTAGATGTTGAATTCATGTATTTACAAAAACCTTTTTTCTTCGATTTTCTTTTTTTTTTTAATGCTTTTATTCCAGATCTCTTTTTTTTCTGCCTACTGAGAATTGAACTCACCTTATATCGCGATTAAAATTTCAGGATTTAATCTCAGAAAGTACCTCATAATCTATTATATTCCGATCCTAGAGTCCGATTGGATTCAGGTCGTTAAATTTGAATTTCACGTAATTAAATACTTATTCGACTAAATATATTCTTAAAAAAGTAGTCTGCAAAGTTTGAAGCTGATTCAATGGAACTTTTATTATTTTATATATTTTTAATTGTAAATATAATTATATAACGTATTATAGTGCTGTTATAAACAGTTAGTCAATTTGATGTGGTCTTTCAGGGGGGGGGGATATTTCGTTGAGTTAAAAAAATTAGCAAAAATGATAAAGTATTCAAATTTAATATATTTTTTAAAGTAATAACTAGATAAAAAAGTTTTAATTGTAGAAAATTATTATAACACGATACAATAAGTGAATTTATTGAAATTTGAGAACAATTTTAGAAATTCTCAAGATTCATAATCAATTTGTTAAATAGAATGAAGTGAGAAAGGATCCTTTCTGTAACTTTTAAATCAATGCATATACATTAATTAATTTTTTAAGAAGCGTTTTACTTTCGAATAATTAATTAATTACATTGAATTTGGGTTCAATGGGCTGAATCGAATTGGTTATTACATATATACAATAAAGACGCATACTGGCACAATTAATAACTCTAGAATGAATCCTTTTTTTTAGTTATGTATCATTCATTGTTGGCTTTACGAACTAAATCAGATTAAATGAGCTTGTTTTTAGAAGTTCATCTCATCAAAATAAGGATTAACTGTAATCAGTTAATCTTTACCATTTGGGCATGATGCTACTAACTGATATTTACTGATTGACCTTGTGCTTTTGATCATTGTTGAACTCCATTGCCTTGTAATTTAAACCTGACCCTGAAGACAAGGGAACTCCTGAATCAAATACTGGAACAAACTAGCCTTTCTATATGACATTTTAATGGTTCATGGAGAGGAAAACCATGAAAATTCCTCACGCTTAAATCGACAGTAAAGGGATTTCTGACCCATGATCTACCATCGGAGATATTTCACGTCAATACTGTGATCGTGCCAGGAGAATAATTGAAATCCACCACCCATCGCTGAAACTAGAACTCGGGTCACGTCATTGGGTAGCAAGAGCTCCAACACTTCAGTCCTATTGACTTGATATAGTTAAGTTAAGACTATCTGACTTTTAAAAAAAGTTTTAATCTTTTTTGGTTAAATTGTCGCTTACGTCTGATAATGATTATTAAGTGCACATTTTTATGGATTCCATTGCAAAGGACTGGGTTTGATCCCCAGTGAAGTCCACCCATCTTCAGATCGATGAATATACGCTTGTTCGGGAAGGAAAGGCGGTTTGATCACAGTGTTCCTATCATTGTCACAATCATGCTGTTAGAAAAGAAATTGTGAAGGTTTTGCATTTTCGACCATTTTGGCTAGATTGTTTCATGAAGGCTTAATTTTTTACTGTGTATCCAAAAGAACTTCTTAGAATTGATTTAAGCATTTACGCATGTCCGTTTTACACGTGAAAAAACTGTTAAGTCTTTTAGGAAGAATAAAAAATAAAACCCTTTAAAATATTGGAAAATAAAGAAAAAATCCTTCCCAAATTCTTAAAGAAGCTCATTGTAGAAATTGAATAAATTCCTGTCAAGTTAAAACACCCCATTGAAACCTATTTCTCGATCGAAATAAAGTAAAAGTCATTAAGTCATTGCAGAATCAGCAATATTCATTAAAAATTTCTAAAATACTTTTGATTCAATTTCAAAATGATTTCTTTTGTAGCAGTAGAATATAACACAAGAATTCTATTAAATAAATTGTTTTTACAGTAATGGTTATGAATGCTTTGTTTAGTAAACATGTTCTGTACTTTTTATTCTGTTTTTTAATGCTCCTTTATGTTTATTATTGAAAGTTTTGTCGTATTATACCAGTTGTTTACGGGTACAATAAAATGAGATAGTTTAACTTAATGCCGAAAAATAAATATTTGTTTTTGTTTTTTCATTTATTTTAATAATTACGCTTTTGTTAGAAACATTCCTTAAATGTTTAAAGTTCAAGGTCCCAAATTATCTCAAAATTTCGTTTTAAAGAAAATTATTAAACCTGAAACTTAAGACCCTTCTAACAAAGCCTTTTCTTTCAAAAACCATTAATTTTTTTCTTGCAGTTCAGCGTTTTATTCAAAAACGGAGGAGTTTTTTACTTTAATGACTCATTCAAAAAAAAAAAAATTTCGAACTACATTCTTTCAATTTGGCATAATTTTTAAAAGAGCAACAGCTTAAACGCTGTTCTATTCATTTCGCGCCATTTTCAAGTTGTAGAAAGAATTTTTTTAAAAAAATAAATATCCAAGATAAACGCATTATTTCTCCAAGCAACGCAAAACCCCTTCTAACATTCTCCAAAAGTGATTTAGAGTCTTTTCTAAATTCTCCAAACTCATTAATATATCAGCGGTTAATTATAGGGTGCCAAATTTTTTTCCCTTCGCCGAAAGCTGTCACCGTTTCGCATAAAACAACTTTGCTCTTAACGACCATTCTTTGTTTGGCGATTTTTTTCCTATTCCAAAAACGCTTACTGGAATGAAATTTCCCTAAAGAAAGACAATTGAGATCCATAAAACAAAAGTTACGGTCATTATTTTTGAAAGTTTTCCGATTTTTTGTGGTTCATTTTTCTTGTGCCGTAATTAGTGACGGAATTGACGTTTACCATATGAATTGATTAATAAGGTGAGTCTAAATAATAAAAGAAAAATATGCCAAAAAAAAGTTTATTTCTTTTTGTGAAAATATGTTTGAAAGAGTGTTCGCTTTTCCGAGCAATTATGAAGACATGAATTGAAAAGAAAAATGATTTGCAGCCTGCAATTAATATGACCAAGCTGTCTTAATATTTGGTACAACTTTTTCTTAATACAAAACATAAGCTTAAGTAAAAACAAAATTGCAATGGACGAAACTCAGATATTTCCCCTAAGAAAAATTAAGCTTAAACTTACTTTTTCTCTTCCTTTGCAAAAAGGAAATGGAATAAAAATTAAATATCTAAATATAAATATTAGTATGCTTGCATGAATAAAAAAATTATAATCGGTCAAATGTAAATTTTTTGATTTAACATACAGAAATAAATTTTTTAGAAAATTCATAGTGTTAAAATCAATGGAAATTAATTGGTTTGGTACTTTGGAGTACTTGTTATCGGGATTGTAATTTGAAATCTTTTCAATCATTTACTTTATTGAGGGTTTTATCTACTTTATTACCTTATTTCAATCATATACTTCATCTTGGACTTTATTGAGTAAGTAAGATGTTAACGAAAGCAATAAAAAATTCTTATCGAAGTCGCCAAATTCAAGTAATTACATTTGTATGGAATGAAACCCAGATCATAAAATAAATGTGCAGGAATTATTTATCTGGAATTATTTATGAAAAAAAAAATGTGTATTACATTTTAAAATCATATGTAGTTTAAATCAAAATCTTAAGTAATTTTTTTAAAAGAAAGAATAATTTTGGTAACATTACGAAATCACAAAACAAATGTGAGTTTCAGTATTGAAGAATTTCAGTATTAAATGTGCAATAAACTCCTTTGTTGCTCAAATGCATTCATAAGCTTCTAAACATCACCGATATTATCTTTTTTTTAAAAAAAAAATAGGTTCGTATATATTTTAATTTAAAACTATGTTTAATGCTTCATTTTTCATTTTTCAAGCGGCTCTACTGAACGAACTCATAGTCACTCGAATTTAGGACCTGCTGTTCATGTTTCTCGATTGACGCACAGACAAATTCTGCAT